CTCCTCCCGCCGCCGCCCGGCCGAGGGACGCAGAGCAGGGGCCATGGGGTAAAACAGGAATTTAACCTCAAAACGAGGCGGAACTTGTCCGCGTTTAAGGCGGCGGAGCGCTGGAACCAGGCTGCCCAGAGAGGTCGTGGAGTCTCCGTCGCTGGAGACAAAGATCATCTGGACGTGTTCCTGTGTCATCTGCTCTGGGTGACCCTGAGCTGGCAGGGACGGGGGCTAGGTTATGTGAATATCAAGATTACCTCAAGTCAGGATGTTCTTTGGTGCAAGATCTTTGAGTACTTTCAATGCTAATCAGCAAGGAAAAAGACTTAATTGGAACAGGCAGCGGTCAGCATCCCTTAGTCAAAGACATCCAGGAACAAACAAAGTTTAAGGAGGTAGTAGGTAAAGATCTGTGTCAATAGAACAGATAGCAGTTAGTATTCCTTACTCAACAATATCCTGGACCTAACAGCCTTTAAGGATGTAGTAAATCAAGATGTCGATGTAAGTCTATGTGTACATTGCTGATTTGGAAAAATAGTCAAGTTTTATGTATGTTCTCTGTAATACTAAAAGTCATGCCTAAAGGTCAAAAAGACTCCTGCCCAGGTGAAGGCCTTTCCTCTGAGCCTGCACAGAAATTAACTGGGGTTATGTAATTCCTCCTACTGACTCATCACAAGACAGCGGCTGTAATTGGGAAGTTATAGACCCTGAACTTCTATGTATAAATGATGGTGTGGAAAAGTCCAGTGGGCATGTTTGGTTTGGGGAATGTCACAAAGCACCTGGGCTCGCACAACACTGAAATAAATAATCTAGTCTCTCCTAAGTGCGTAATTATGGGCTTGTTGCACGCCAGGTAATGAGTCTGACTTTGTGGACAGCACAAGGGGTCCTGCCATCACAGGGGTTGTCACAGGCCAGGAGGAAAGGGGATGGTGTCATGTTTTGTCTCAGCAAGGCTCCAAAAATCCCAATTTAACTGTGCTAGGCTCATCAGGCAGTGAGGTTGACTCTGCCATAAATTGCATCTATTATTCAGGGTTGCTTTAGTCTATTTGTTTAAAGCTTTCTTCTCCAGTTTTCACCCCTCTAGAGACTTCATGCTAATATCTGCTAAATTTAGCAATCATTTGAATAAAGCTTATTCAATTATAGCCAGTGCTGCCAGTAAGAAGCTGACACTGGAGGAGGAAAGAGGTTTATTCTCCCTCAGACATGTCCTGCAGGGAGAAAGGGATACAAATGGCTCTCATTGTTTCTCATAGTAATCATCTGTAACAGGGACCAATAACAGTTAAACCTCTGTGTATTAAAAGACAGTCATTCTCTGGAAATTGTTCTCCTGCCTCTGCAGATGTCACCTCAGTGCCTGTCTTTTATTGTTCCTTCTCTTCTGAATCCCTCCCTGGATGGATACCAGCATACTGTGTCAGTTTCCGCTAATGCTGCTAATACATTTTTCTGGACAGG